CTCTATACTAAATAGCACTTCATATCCCTATATACCCATACCTAGCTCTACATAGCCCTATAAAGCAATAAATAGCCGTGCATAGCCGTACAGCTTCGAGAAAAGAGGCTTAGAACGAGTTCTTGGTGGAGAAAAGGTGATAATTCGAATGGCTTTCGTTTGGAGTACATAGAGGGGTTCAAGGTAGGAGGCATATGTAGATGCCCAGATGAGGTTACAATAGTTGATATAAGGTAGAAAGAGGGATTTATATAAGGTTTTTGGGTGACCGAAGGTAAGTATCGTCTTGATTTAGACGAAATTCCTATAACCTTAGCGACATTATCGCAGATGGAAGTGATGTGCGGTTTCCATGAAAGGTTTTCGTGAATAATTATTCCAAGAAATTTATGTTCCTGTACCCGCCCTATAGGGGTGTTATTTATTAAGATGTTTAATTCTGAAGAATTGATCTGTTTACGTCGTGGATGGAAGATGACGAATTTGGATTTATCAGGATGAACAGTAAGCTTGTTTGCGTTAAACCAGGAGGAGACATGAGAAAGCTCTTGATTAACCATTCTAGCTAAAGTAGCCAAGTCTTTATAACGAAGAAAAATATTGGTGTCATTAGCAAAGAGAATAAATGAAAGATAATTTAAAGAAAGAAAAAGATCATTAATGTATAAGAGCAATAATAAAGGGCCAAGAACAGAACCGTGAGGGACCCCACACGTAACAGTATTATTAGAAGAAACATGACCATTGAACATAACATACTGTTGTCGGTTTTTTAAATAGCTGGTGAGCCAAGCTAGAGGAATACCACGGAGGCCATAAAAGTTTAATTTGTCAATAAGTATCTGATGATTTACAGTATCAAATGCCTTCTTGAGGTCTAAGAAAATTCCAATAGTGTATTATATTCATTACTTTCAAAGCCTTCATATATATTGTTTACAAATTCGAGGATCGCCATAGTTGTAGAATGATGTGGTCTGAAGCCATATTGATGGTGACTAAGAATGTCAAATTTTTCAAGAAATCCAGACAATCTGAAGTAAAAGGG